TAAAAGTAAAGTATACGTGTGAATCCATTTGTTCAATTTTCTCGTTATCGTATGTGAAGTCTCGCACTTATTTACGAAGTAATATAGTGTCGATTTCCCCTAACTAGTCGTGTGACGAGGAGCCGCATTGTCTCGTCTTTGTGTTTCGGATATTCACTCTATATTTATCTTTCGTTATTGGTGCCTGGCAGCCTCGATAACGAATTTATACGGGAAAGGGGCACCTTACAAGGAACTCAAGGATTATTTACCAGAAAAACAACGTCTAGAGAGTACGTCGCCGTCACCGTTAAACAAGGCGAGGACATTTTCGACGTCACACTTGCATGACGGAGAGCTCGGTTTAATACGGTAGACCGGACTAGGAATGCACCGGATTCCAAACAGGAACAACCCGGAGCGTTCCACCTCGTTGAATGTTATGTACGTTACATCAATCAAATGTAGTCATTACAACAAGGAATAATTCGTTTACAAGAAAGAATATCACAAATGAGTCCAGGGTTAGGTAGGACTAAGGGCGAAGGCTCAACCTTCGACGACGGAGACCACCGACTCGTGCCGAGTCAGGTCATAGCGTCGCAGTCTCTGTGGCAAGCAAAGGATGACTGGCAGTTACCTCGGACGGTGATTTCCTGACGTGAGTCTGCTAATCGGTTCCACTCTCCCGATGTAACTTTCTCTGATTGCTTCCTGAACTGTACACCTATAAACAACATTCTAAAATAGTAAAAAACAGCAAAACAAAGTCCGGGGCACCACAGTCGGACAGCACCACAGCCTCGCACACGACTATCGTCTCCTTGGAGGCTGAGTAGGGAGATCTCTAGCAGGGACTGCAAAGGGGGTAAAAAAGGTTCTCTAGAACTAATTTAGTTCCTGGGACTTTTTGGTGTGAACGCAACTAAATCGTAGTTCTCAGGAACCTTTGTGGGAAAAGTACTTGGTGTGAACGCGCCTATGGCTTACTGTGTCAGTTATAGAGCAGAGCCAAAATAAATGCTATTACTAACACCTGTACTTTTCCTGTGATGACAAGCCAAAATGTCTGCTGGAAACAAGGCTTATTTTTCGGTAACTTACCTGTGTCAATGATTGTTGGCCACGTCTTGATGTTTACTGAGGCAGCAGCCTCTTTGGAGCGCAGAATCCTCATGAGACTTTGACTGGTAAGGATACATGCCGCTTTGCTGACCTGGTAGGAAGAAAAAAAGGTTGCTTGTGTTAGCGACAAAAAAGAAAATGAAAAAGCAAACGCATGCAGACACCTTGATCTATCTTCTTATAGCCTAACGATACTGGGTTTTGGAGCCAAATACACCATTGATTTTTGAGAAGTTTTTAATAATAATAATAATATCTACAGACAGGCCACAACTAAAAAGACCCTGATAATAGGATAACATGAACCCTAACCCTAACAGCACACACACTCACATCAATAATCATGCGGACAGTAGGCAACGTGGCTCCCAGGTTCTGAGGGTGTGGAGGTCGGACGTTCACGGGAACACATCCAGCGTAGAGACAGCCGTAGAAGGCAGCTATCAAATCAATGCCTGAGAGAAAGATGGTAGGAAGGTGGTGTCAAAAACAAGAGGGAAAACTCGCAATGATTAATATAATTGAGAGTAAAATGTAGAGGCAGGACTCACCAGGAGGATAAAGCAGCACCACGTTCTCTCCTGTGTTGATGCTTCCTTTCTCAGTTAGCGCTGCGGCTATCTTCTCGGCCCGCTTGTGAAGCTGGAGGCAGGTCGCAGTGCTCACAGGAACACCCTGAAGGACAGGAGTAATGTACAGAGGGAGACATGCAAGAAGACACATTATTCATGTTGAGCTTCACAGTCCAAGTATATTGTATTTATTCTTGTAGTATTTTTGGCTTTTTATTTTAATTATCCAGAATATTTTATATCGTTTTGTTTATATTGTTTATATTTGATATAATAATTTTCATTTTATTTTTAATTGTTAATGCGCTTTTCCACTTTCTTTTAGTATTTTAAGTATTGTATTTTAATGTCTGAACACACTTCTGCTTCTGTGACAAAATAATTTCCCAAATTGGGATCAATAAAGTAGATGGATAGAATCTGAGGGATGAAACCCTCTTTAAAGGTCACACATGCAGAGCACACAGCGCACACAGTGAAATGTGTTCTCTGCATTTAACCCATCCTAGTAGTAGTATCTATCTATCTATGTTATTAGCATATGAACGGATGAGTTTGATACCTTGTTATTGAGAAGAACAAACAGGACGTGGTCTGCGTCTGTCTGTGCCCTCCACTGCAGAGCCTCTGTCAAATACTGATGCTGAAAAAACAAAATAATAATAGTTAGATGTATGTACAGTTGATCTGAGGGTGTGCTTAAAAAGTATTTGCACATTTTTACAAACACAACCATGGAAGGCTTACATAGGGTGGAGTTCAGTGCTTAACTTAATACACCTCAACAAAATACGATGGAAACTTAATAATTCATGCAAAGCTTTCTGGCATAAATCATCTCTAACCAACGAGCAAACAATTTTACACCATATATTTTAAGCTATAAAAGAACAAACCATTTCTTACATGAAAAACTAGGGAAAGCTACAGAAGGTGCATATCTTGTAACACAAAAAAAATGAACATGCTTTTTGGCTTATGTCACATTTTAACACAAGCACACAAAATAAAACCACGATACAATTTGATTAGAGCATGACAAGAGGTGGGGGGAAGATGCCAGAAGTGGTCCATCATTCTTACCATCACAGTAGGCCACATACAGAGCTACATCCAGAGAGAGAAGAGAGCAGAAAAAGAGAAAGGTCCAAGATTGTTCTTACATCTATAATACTGAGCTGTTGCTGAGCCTGGACCATTGTTACCAGTGGCAAGTCTTTAAACCAAACTGTTAACATAGTGTTGAATTGGTACTGATCATGTGTTCTTGTTGATTCTAAAGGACTAGCATGTGGCTTTTTTGCAAATAGAAATGGGATGAAAAGGTTATCAGATACAGAGTTAGTGTGCGGTTATATTGGGAGTTACAGTGTTCAAGGTCTTTTTACCTTGCGGACAAGATCCTGGTCGTCAATCATGCCGAGGTCCCTGCCTGCAGCCTGGGCGATCCTCTTCCCTGCGACGAGGTTTCCCACCATCACAGACGCAGGACCTACACCAACTACAAGACAAACAGAGTGTGAGACAAACAGAAAGATACAGGAGGACAGCAGAAACAGAGTAAAAGATGCAGAGAGACCATGAGAGAGAGAGCCAAGCAATTTACTGCTTGTGTAAACAAATTTTCTAAATAAAGCTCACACTTAAACTCATATTGGTTTTTTGGTGGGCCTTTCTTTTTAAGAGGCGAAAAATAAATTCTGTGTCCACAGTAGAGTACATTGCTTTGCTCCTGTCTGTTGTGTATTACGTAGTAGAATAGAATAGGATCATTTATTGTCAATATACAAGTACAACAAGAAGAGTAAAGCTACTCCTTTTAAGGTGCCATCAAAACATTCAGAAAAGGCAACATACAACAAAGACACGCAGCATTCATACATACATAATAAAATACAAATAATAACTAAATAAAGTGCAGAAAATAATTCAATTAGTATAGCATAATTCATATATTATGTACACTGACCATGGACAATTACCTCATACAATCCCACATCAAAACATCCAATTCATACCCGTCACCTCAATGGTAACCCTTCCAGGACCTAGAATAAATTCATTTTTACGTGACTGGAAAATAAACATTGTAAACTTAATTAAGATATTGTGTAAAACACAGTCGTTGGATAGTGGCTATTTTCAAGTTTGCACATTGCGTGACATCTCTTGAACTTCAGCCAGGGGCCAACGCAGCGGAAACATTGCTATCCTAAATTCAGAAACTGTTTTGTGTGCGTTATGTAACACTGCCGACTGGGCTTTTATTTGACAAAAAGCTTTATAACCCGGACTGACTCTCTCACGCGGGACATGGAAAGATGTCTCTAATCTTATGAGAAACTATCTACAGATAAGTGTCGCCTACCGGGCTGCTTCTGGCGGGGCTTGGGCAGGTTGGTGACACACGTGTGGGGACACAATAGGATGTTGCAGGGGTGCAGGTTGCCATCCAAGAAGTACTGCTTGGTGTCAGAGATGTGGATGCCACCCAGGGGTGTTTTGGGTAAGGTGTTGGCAGGGACCAGAGCCAGACAGTAGAGGCCCACCTGGTGGATGCTGTCGATAGCCTGCACAGGAAACAACAGGGAGACGGAAGGTGACTCAAGAATTTGGCTGACAGAAAGGTGATCCTGTCTACACAGAACCACGAGTTGATCAGTAGTTATCACAATAATAATACCAAGACTGTCACTAACAACAAGTGATTTTCTTATATTAAACATAATATGTTTATTTTATTTCCTGTTACTTGTACAGAAGCTACTTCAGAACCATCAAAACAAAAGAAGAAAACGAAAAGTCCCGACCAACGAAGAATCACAATGAAAGACCAAACAATACTTAAATAAGTGATGCTTGTGGGGATGCAACTATTCATCAGTATGCACCTACCATAGAAAATATATAATACTTTAGGACATGTTATTAACTTAAATTCTGATCATCTAAAATAAGAGTCTCTAAGACTTCCAAAGATCTCCAGGAACCGGGAATAAAAACATTTGAAAGCAAATGAGGAGGAGATGTACCTGTAGCACTCGGCTCATCCATTGGAAGCTGTCCTCTTCGCTGGCGTCCGGCCTCTGCTCCGCCACAATCACCACCCTCTCATCATAAAACACTGTGACTGAAAACACAGTGATCCTGGCACACAGAAAGATTGTTTTAAGAGTGGAAGTCAGACATCTTTCCACGACTTCACCATGACAGTTGTTCCCTGCTGTGCTTCTTTTGTAACTCCAGATGTCAGTAGTGGTACATTTGCATCCACTCAACATCTTTCTACACACACTTTGCATCAAGAAGAGCTCAGAGGTCCTCTTACCTCCCACGGTACACAGTCTTCACTGGCTCCACGGCCAGAGCGGTGGCCACCAGGTCGTCCGCGTTGTGTCTCCGCCCGCTCACCATCAGCAGACCCTCGATCTTCCCCACCACGAAGATCAGACTGCCCTGCAGAGGATACACAGCGGGGTCATTCACTGAACAAACACGGACCCATTTAAAGACAGAGAGAGGACTGTTTCCAGCATGTCTCAAACTGCTGCTGTCCCGTTATGTAACGGTCCTACTTACTGGGCCAACAAACCCCAGGAGTCCTGACCGCACAAAGGGGATCTCTCCAATGGGAACTCCATTGGCGTTAACCGGTATAACCTGAACACAACAACACAGAGAGAATGGAAAAGCACCACAGGAGAAAAACAAATTAGTTGTTTTACTGTAACAGAATAGGCAGATTGTGGGCGAGATGAATTGTTTTCTTACCTCAAAGGTGTTTTTGGTGAGTCCAGGCAGGCCGTAGTACATGTTGCCCCCAGCACGGGAGTTGATTATTATCTCACCTATCTCATCTGTTTTGCACAACTGAGGAGGCCCTTCTGGCCTCACAATGCACATCAGAGCTGGAGACACACAAAGCCAACATTCAGACAACTATAGAATTCATAAAAATTGAATAAATGTAACCACAACATTGCCCATTACTGCCCAGTTTCTTTAAACGCGCAACTTTATCCTTCTGGATGATAAAGTTCTTTTTTAAAGTTGGAATATTGCTTAAACTACAAGCCAAAAATCTTAAGTTGCACATTTAAGTATTTGGAGCATATCAAATCTGAGCTGTGTAACTTTGGAGGGCTGAAGGGGAGTCCCATTATCCTTTTTAAGTACTAGAATGACTTCAAAGTCTCAATATTTTATTAAATGTTGTGTATAGGACAGTAATAAACACATACAGTAATACAATGCTTCATCAGCAACGTCAAAAATGTGAAAATGAAATGCGACACACAGCCCTTTCTTTTTTTTGGCCATATATTTGTCTTGCTTTCCATCTGACTCATGTATCTTTCCTTCTGTCTCACCTCCAGGCATGACATGTCCCACATCTTGTACAGTCAGGGCGGAGTTCTTGTCCTCAGTGTTGACCCTGATGACTCCGTGGCTCAGGCCGCCCAAAGAAAGGATGGCACGGGCAGGGAGGGGGGTGCCTGGCACTCCCGGTCTACACAGGGGAGAGTTTGATCGAACATGAGCATTTCCATCCATCCCATCTGTTCTCACAGTTCGCCATCTGCCCACCCACCCATGTACAACACACAACAGACTACATCTTCATCCACCCTGCTACAGCAGTAGAAATGGAAATCAACCATTAGTGAGGCAATGCCATGCTTTTACATTTTTCGTTTGTGGATTCTGATAATCTTTTAAGAAGACATTTGAGAAAGAAGGCGGTTTTCTTATTTTGTGTGTTTGTCTTTTTCCTCTTATATAATGCTAAGAACTAGAATGAAACTCGAAAGTGCAGACCTTCGCCAAGGCCAATGGTGCATTCAGACGCAGTCTAATCTCCCTGGGCCTTCTTACGGTACGTCCACACGGCAGCGTCGCGTTGAAGCTTGAAGCTGTGTCTGGCGTGCGACCAACAACCATCACATTAATCTCCCGCCCCGGACACACAAGCACACGGTTTGATAGGCTAGAGCTTGTACTGGCATATGATTTGATTGGCAGGCGCTTCCGTTGACGCTTGAAAAGTTGAACTTTTCTCAACTTTCAAAGCGAACAACGGAAGCAATGCGACGCGACGGAACCACAATGCAGTTCGGCAAAGCGAGACGTCACCCCATTCAAAGTGAATGGGAAGCGTCTCCGTTGAAGCACGCGACGCTGCAGTGTGGACGTACCGTTAGAGCCCAGCTGTGTTCATGAGCATTGAGTCATGATGTGAAAACAACATGGACATGTTAAGAGCGTTTAAACAACTCGTTGATAGATGTTGTTGTTTTGACTTGAGGGCGTTTGAATACATTTGCCCAGTCGGGAACACATTTTTTGAATTAGAACTATCTCGCAATGTTGACGACGTGAGTAAACCATAAATTGTGTTTTTGCCCCATGATAAGGAACGGCTCCATTATCCGTGCTCCACCCACCAAATTCCATGAAATCGGACCGACAGCTATCGTAATCCTGCCGACAGACTTATAAACATACCTGCGTATAGCTACTGTCATAGCCTCAGGGGAGGTGGCACAGGGACATATGACCTCAGGCTTCAGCCCATGGGACTGAAACACGTTCAGGAAGGCATCACAAGAAGACACCGACCCTAGACAGCAAGAGAAAGTGGATTCAACATTTTGCATTTCATTTGTGACCTTTTTAAATACGTAGTTAACCAAAGCTGGGGGGCACTAAGTACTCACAGGGATTAGCACCATCAGCAACAATCAGCATATGTAGTGAAGCCAGGCTGGTGTCTCTCTGTTCCCGATGAGCCATCATAGCCCAGTGTAAATCACGGCACTTCACCAAAGCTATCCGAGCTGTATAAGAATAAGAATTAAGTTATGTTGACCATTTATTATACTTTCCTTTTCATGGCACATCTCTAGCTGGGCGTCTGGTGTTACCTTTGTGGATGTGGACCCTCTGTACCCAGGAGAGGGGACACGCCTTCATTACTGCATAGGGAACACTGACAGTATGTACCCTATTCATCACGGCCTGGAAACAAACATAACCGGAAGTTTTTGTTAGGAGCTGGATAAATGAAGCATTAAGCAGTTTCACAAAGCTGTATTTCTCTGATGCCATTCGACTGCTGCTGATATTTCTTAGCTTAAAGACGTAAGGTCCAGACATCTGATGACTTAAATCCTTCATTCTTTAAACATTTTTGTTAAAAAAGACCCAGGTCTACAGTGTATTGTGAAAATGTTACCTAAAACTGAATAAAATCTTGATATATTTACTGTGACAGACAATCACAATGTTGATGCTTATGCAAAGGGTACGTTACTATCACTGGAAACTAAATGAAACAGGCTGTTGGAAACATTTTAGGTAATTTAGTCTCACGACTCAACAAAATATGTAACATAGGTTTAATCCTAAAGGCATTTTAATGCACGATCTCAATTTATTATGTAAAAAAAACCTCCACAAACACTTACCGTGAGAACTCCATGCCACAGCCCAATATCCTTCTTAAAGTCCAGCACATTGACTAAAGTTTCCCCTAAAGTGAAGAAAGACAAAAGTGACTTCAGACTCATAAAAACTGTGTTGATGAAGAAACCTTGAGATGATAGATGATGATGTCATTCCTCACCTTCGCAGTAGTTGCAGGCCTGGGTCAGTGCTTGGCAGTGGGTCAACATGGCCACTTTAGACACAGCTACACCCACCACTGTGCCATCTTTACTGGCCTTGTACTACCCCAAGAGGAAACATGAGAGGAACATGTTAATACTTCTGAACACACTTGTATTTGTATATTAACTTTATAAGGATGCAGTTCAGGTTTCCCAATTTCCTTTTTAACAGACAGTTACACAATAACTGTATTGTTAAAGTTATTAGGTATTGGAATAAGCTGCCCCCGCAGTAAGCAGCTCTGTTACCTCTATATAAGCAGGGTCAGTGTTGGCAGTGGGGATGTGCGGCTGCCAGTCTTTGGAAGGCTTGGTCAGGTATTTCGTGTCAGTCACCACCCACTTTAGTCGAGGCCAGCCTATGAGAGAAATTTAAATCAAGAGGGATTTATTTCCAAATGCTATGTAACCATTTTTGGGAACATTTATGTCTGCAATTCATTGCCAACTCTTCATTAAAACACAGATTACATTGTATCCCAAACAGTCTAAAGGATACCAGAAACATTTACGTGTTTCTTTTTATCGAGATGAATGACCCTAAATGACTAATTATCCAATAAAGTTCAATAAAACCAAATTGAAGTTGGAAGTACAAAAGAGAAACGTGGTGTTTTTCTTCCTTTGATGTTGGAATGTTATTTTGTTTTGGAAACAGATGATTAAAGTTTCAGAGAGGGATTGGATAGAACCTTTCCAGAATCTTTCCAGCTGTGCTTACAGCTACACCCAAACATAAGTTTGGACTTGTATTGGCAAGCTTTATTGCCTCTTCAAGGATTATTCCCTGTGAATGGAGGAGCCAGAAAAAAAAAAACAGGTATTCCTGACTGGTACAACATGATGACATACATTGCCTCTTTTAAAGGACTTAGAGCAAGGACTAATAAATACAAAGGCACGTTTTATGAATTTCAGAACCTGAAAGGAAGTATTTACATGCTGCATCATTGTGTATATATATTTTTCTTCTGGTTTTGTGCGCCAGGTCTGTATGTATTAGAAAAGGTAATAAAACAACTTTAATAACAGAAGGTTCAATAAGCTCTGAAAGTCATACTGACCTTTATACTGCATTATTTCCCCAGTGGGAGTTTTGGGTAAACCCTTCAGGCAGATCTCACTGGTCAGAGCGAGACCCACACCACAGCTACCGAGCAGAAACCCCACCTGGCTGATACCTGCATCCTAAAAACACAAAACAAAATCACCTTTTTAGATAGGGAAAAAAAGTATATCCTTTGGGAATAGAAAATGTCTCATGGTTTTCTTACTTTGCGAGACAGTGGTACTTCAATAGGTACAGGTATAACTTCAGCAAGGAGGCAGCCGTAGAAAGCCACCCAGAACATACCAGGGTCACTGTTGGGGAACACCAGCGCCACCTACCAAGACATATACAACTTTATAATTAGCACCCTGTTGCTGCAAATATAGCAGAAAAAACTTGGTAGTGATGAAAAGGCTGGGGTGCAGAATTATTGCTGTACAAATGCCATATAAATACCTGCTTATGGTAAACAAGTAGCCTACTTACAGCGTTCATTTTGGCTCTATATATATGACATTTATATTATATGTCTATACATTTTTTTGTTTATTTTACTCCCATGATACTTTGCCTAGTTATTGTGTCAGCTCGCTCACCCTGTCTCCAGGTTTCAGTATTTGCTCGTTCTTGGTGCCCAGCTTGTTGAGGAGGGTGTATGCCAGCTTCACACTGCGACTCCACAGCTTCCCTAACAGACATAAGGTGGAGGGGGAGGAGGCATGTTAGGAGGACAGGTTATGTCTTACCACAGCAAAACAACTCTTGTCACGGAGTACACAAATATCTCTTTATCTGAATGACATCTTGAACTGTGTGTGTTCTTCTGATAAAGCAATTTGTGCATTAAAAGGTTAATAGAAGCAGATATTTTGCAATGCACAATTTACCTTCCCTGAGAACACATATATTAAAGGTCCCCTATTATACTGTTTTTCATCAATATATTATAGGTCTCAGATATATACAAAACATGTCTCTGAAGTGTTGGCTCCAAATATCAAACAGATTATTGCAGCCTCCCATAATCCCCTCTGTTTCAGTCCTGTTTCAAAAGTGCTGCACAAGCCAAAAAATCGTTATGACATCACAAAGTGGCCAAAATCTGATCAGCCTCATTTTTCAGGACGGGCGTTTTTATATAACATGGATCAGCGGACAAAAAGAGAGAGAATCTTTTATCCTGAAACTTTCAGAATCTCTTTACACAGAGGGGACACATGTTGATGTATAAAAGACATGAAAAAGTGGATTTTGCATAATAGGTGACCTTTAAGTAATATTTATTTATTCTATTGTTTTAAGAGTTTGTAATTAATAACAGTAACTAATCACACATGTTCAACACATTGCCTAACACGGGTTGTATGTTACTGCGACTGATCTGAAACTGTAACCAGTCTTGTGTCTCACCGTAAGTCAGTGTGTAGAGCGGTTTGCCCGTGATATCAAGAGCAGTGAGTGCGGGGCTTTTCCCCTGAGTGGCCCCCCAACGTGCCAGCGCTGCCTGTAGGGCTGGGGGCCAGTTACTGACCACCCCCAGAGGCTCCCCTTTCACCGGGATGATCTGACGTCCCTCCGGTTTGGGCATGTTAGGGTCTGGCTGGGGCACTGGAAGAGAGAAGACAGAACAATATTGGGAAGATTAATGAGCCCATCACTGGATAAAATGCAGAATCAATCATCAATGCTGGTTTACAATGGTTTGTTCGCTTTAATGTGTCTTCCCTACATGTCCTTGTTCTCTGAAGTGTCGATGGTTTTAATAGAAGCTTGGAAAAATGTAATCCTCAAGTCTTCATCTCACAACGAAATGTATATAATTATCTGTCTGAAGTCACCAAGTATGTAAACAAATATAGGTTTATCTTCCAATAAGGCTCGCTCTATATAGATTAAGACTTTTATCCTTATTCATTGGTTATAAACAGAGTTGGGTGTAACGCGTTACAAAGTTACAAAGTAAGGCGTTACTGTAATAATATTACTTTTGTCGGTAACGGAGTAGTGTAACGCGTTACTTTTATAATTCAGTAATCACACTACAGTTACTAACATTGCCCCGACACGCGTTACTTCGTTACTTTTATAAAATAATCACACTCACTGACAGACAAGAGGGGTTTCCGCCGCAGGTTTGTATACATGTAGGCCTACGTAATCTGCGCGATTTGGGCGTCCACATCTCCACATGCAGTGCTGCATAAACATGGCTGAGTCTTCTCCTCTGTAAACTTCCTCAACGGGGCCGCTCGCTCTCTTTTCTTGATTGCACTCTCACGGGTGAACAGTTCAATGTCCCGCTTCATTGTAGGAATTCTGCCATGTCTCTACCACTTTAGTTTGACCATCTCTGTTACTAAGTTATGGAAAAGGAATTGAAGATGATTCTCAGCTAAGTTTTCAACAACAAAAAAAGCCGTTTCGACGTGAAGTAGAAACATGTCACTACGGAATCTCCCACTCCACACCCTCCTACTGAAAACCGTCTACAGTTGTGTAAAAGATCTTATATGTTTTTATATTGTCGTAACACTTCGTCGACCTATTTAGTTATGACATGACGTCACAAATATTTAACATTTGATTAACAAAGACAACTACCAATTATTTTAGTAGTCTTAGAAATATGTATTCAGGTAGAAAATTCAACCATTTTTATTTATCAACTAATTATCTAAAAACCAAGTTTCCGTAAAAGTTTTGCACAAGCGATAGTTTACCGAATATTCACTAGATACTTCGAAACCCTTACTAAATATTGGTCTCTACCCCAGCAATGATTTTTTTCATTATATAATGTATAATGAAAAAAAGCAATGATAATGTCGAGAATGAGCCATTGAGCGTTCGGGCCGGGCGGGAGGGATGTCCGTCTAGTGCGTCTGACGCCGTGTGGATGCTCACATTCGCGCGGTGTTCAAAACGGAGCACCGCTCGCTGGAGGTTGAACGGTGGGGGTTAATGATAACGTAATTCCTTCTGTATGTGTGTTTCAAAAAGAAAACTATACGAGAAAATTTATTTTATCCGATGGTTCGGGATGGGTCGTTGTTCGATTGTCGTCAGACACTTTGGCGATTTCTGTGATTAATTTAATGCTTGGTCAAGTTCATTCTTGCGTAATTAAGTAAATAAGAATTAGTATTAGAAATCTTCGCGTCAATTGCCATTCCCATAGATTAATGAAT